ACCAAAGAACGGATGCACTAGAACTGCATGTTCCACCCTAAATAAGTGGCTCTCCACCGTTAGATGCAAGATCGTTGATGATTTTTCTCTGAATTCAGTAGTGGTTGCATAGTCTAAATCTGAACTAAACGATTTAAATAAAAAAAGTAAAATGTGTTTAAATTTGTATTTGTTAATTTTAATAGAAAAGCGGTGGTAAATCCCTTTGAAAATTTCTTTTGAAAGACGGTGTTATGACCAATGTTATTTGGTCTCGAAGTTCGCTGCAAAGTAGACGTTAAATCGGTCTTATGATGTTCCTTGTAACAATTTTTGCTGATGAAAACGACATAGAATCAAAATGCGTTTTTGCTTCTATCAGGAGTACTTTTTAGCAGATTTTGCTTCCTTTCGCTCACAGTGTTATGCACTTCTGTAAAAGCAGTACTGAAATTTATTTTTAAATTCGTGAATGCAATAATTCAAACTTAAAGTTTCATTGCTTGAATGCTATCACAGAGGGTGAACATTTTCATCATCATAAAAATAACACAACATGAACAGCGTGACATGGATATTAAGCACTAGAAATATAAACTATTACATTGAGCGTTGTTGGGAAGTGCTGATTCACCGCGTTGTAGTCTCTGAGAATGCCTGCTGAGGCTGGTATGAATGGCTTTCTACGCAGCTCCGCCGGGGAAGCAACATTAACAAATCCAGATCTTCTCTCCGCGACAGATCTTGATCAATACAGCCATGAAGAGGATAGATTTGGTTATATTCAAGATGCTGTTCCTATTCGCAAATCATGTGCCACTGTCGACTCAGAAAAATGTTAGGTTAAATCGTTAATCGTTTTATTCAGTGGCATTGAATCTTTTGTACAAGTGTCGAGGAAGCTGTTGCTTTAAAGTCGCTGGTCAGCGGTCATGGAAAAATGCTAATGGCTTCGTAGTTATAAATACGGATAATGCACGCGAAGAAGCTTTTACAACAGTTTCACTTAGACCACACAAAGTCCTGTGTTTTGGCATAAAATGAGGGCCCTTGCTGCATCGATTCGCCACTACCAGATGAGGTGAGATGAAGAAGTAAGTCCTTAGTATTTTATTTATAGGACGGGTTAGCTGCGAAGTGTCATAGCCTTGGACGACAGGTCGACAAGTGCCTCCTTTTGGTGTTGCGCATCACGCAGATCCATTAACTTGTTTTATTTGGGTTGAGAAGTAACGGTATACATCCATGGTACCTTTTCTGTAAGCATCAGATCACTGAAGAGAATTAACAACAGTGACGTCAGCATCTGAGTGGATCGTGAATGCGGCAGGCCATTCGTAAATATGTTGAACACCAAAGGCTAAAGCACTGATCGTTGAACAGCTCCCAAATTATTCATTTTCAAATCATATGATTCTGGTAACCACGTTTCATCGTTTATTTTACTCCGTGAAAACAAATCATATATTTTTCGAAACATCCGGTGACAGAAATTTTTATCACTAATCGTATGGCATTAGTACATCTAACGTCAGAGGGGGCATT